TCATGGCGGATTTAGTCAGTTGTGTCAGGAACTGGTGGTTTGAAATCCAGACTAATCCACGCCTGATTCATTTTCACAAACGTGAGTCTCTCCACACTTTGGGTGGACAGTCGTGTCCTCCGCGGAGTTACAATACCTCCTGCCGCACTAAACACGGCGCTCCGATGCCACGCTACTGGCCGGGCATGACAGCCTTTCAAGGGCTGCTGCTGCTGCTGCGGCGGCTGGTTAGTAGTTTCCTCACTGCGCTGGTGAAGAAAGCTACTCATCATCGACTGCAGACTGAGGCAGCCGCTGCTGGTGGAGCTGCCACTGCTCCTACCACCCCACCCCTCCCCTGCTGCCATGGCAGCGGAACGCGAGCGCACAGGGACCACAGTGTCTGAGGATGGACGTTGGAGCAGAAAGGCAGAGACCAACTGACTACATAGGTGGTTTTTATAGTACGTTATTTTGGCCTCCCTCTCAGCAGGTGTGAAAAAGGCCACCATTTTTGAACGGTAGCGAGGGTCCAACAAGGTGGACAGCCAAAAGTCATCCCTCTGTCTGATGGTTATTATTCGGCTGTCGCTACGCAAGCAACCGAGCATGCTATGGGCCATTTGTGCCAAGGAATGCGAGGGACTCCCTGCCTCCATCTCCACAGCATACTGCCACGGTGCGTCTGGGTCCTCTGTCTCCTCCTCCTCCTCTACCAGATGCTCCTGCTCCTCCACTCCTGTCCGCTGAGTGGAAAAACCACCCATTTCACTCAATAATTCCTGAGCACCAATGTCCTCCTCTACCTCCTCCTCTTCTTCCTGTCCTGCCCCCACAGGGGTCATGTGGCGTTGAGATCTGTGCGCCACGTCTACCGCACCCTGACCAGCCATTGTTAACAGCATTTGTTCCAGGACGTGCAACAGAGGAATGACATCGTTCATCCCATAGTCCTGCCGAATCACGAATAGCGTGGCCTCCTCAAAGGGCCTGAGCAAGCGGCAGGTGTCACGCATGAGCTGCCAATGGCTGACATCTAAGTTACACAGGGGAGTACCTTTATCCGCTTGTAACATCAGGAAATCGGTGATGGCCTTTCGCTGTTCGTAAAGGCGGTCTAACACATGTAGGGTTGAATTCCACCTTGTTGCAACGTCGCAGATCAGGCGATGCTGTGGAATTCCATTCTGCCACTGCAGCTCAAGGAGGGTGTGCTTTGCGGTGTAGGAATGGCTGAAATGCATGCAAAGTTTACGTGACATTTTAAGGATGTCTTGCAGTGGGATGGTGGATTTTAGGAACCGCTTGACAACCAGATTGAACACGTGAGCCATGCATGGCGCATGGCACAACCTTCCTTGACGCAGAGCAGACACCATGTTCTTTCCGTTGTCGGTCAACATGGTTCCGATTTTCAGTTTGCGCGGAGACAGCCATCTGTCGATTTCTCTGTTCATTACACTCAGAAGTTCCTCCCCTGTGTGACTACGTTCGCCAAGGCATACCAGGTGCAGCACAGCGTGACACCGTTGCGCCCTGCACATGTGATATGCTGGTCGGGTAATGGGACTTGGCACGGGGGTGGCGGCTGAGGACACGGCGGAAGAAGAGGTGGTAGAGGCGGACATCTTTGCTGGACCAAGGACGTGCAAACGTGGAGGCAAAAGCGGCGTGACCTGTCCAAGTTGCTGGTGCGGCTGTGCCGGCACCACGTTCACCCAGTGGGCCGTAAATGACATGTACTGTCCCTGACCGTAGTTACAGCTCCACACGTCGGCGCTGCCGTGCACTTTGGCAGAGACCGACATGCTCAAAGACTGGCCCACCATCTCTTCTACATGTGAATGCAGGGCTGGCACTGCCTTTTTGGCGAAGAAATGCCGGCTTGGCACTCTCCACCGCGGCGCGGCACAAGCCATCATTTCTCGGAAAGGTGCTGAGTCCACCACTTGGAAAGGGAGGGACTGCAGCACCAGCAACTTGGACAGGAGGACGTTCAGCTTCTGCACCGTCGGTGCGTGCTCGCAAACTGTTGTCTCTTGGAAACGGATTCCAAGAAAGACTGCTGACGGAATCCGTGAAGAGAGGAGTAGCAGGAGAAGGAGCATCTGAACGAGCGGAAGATGCCAACAAGCGACAACTCCCCTCAGCAGAGGTGTTGGAGCCTTGACTGGCTGATAGAGGGCGATTGACGTCGGGTGATGGAGCAAGTAACGGAGCGGGTGATGGAGCGGGGGCTGGGGCAGGCAGAACCGCCGTATCTTTATCACGGTTTTTCCCAGGCCACCGAATGGCGACGCTGCATATGCTGACGCAACGCTGTAGTCCCAACATGGGCCCCCTGGCCACGCTTGACTTTCTGGCCACATAGTCGACATACGGCTACGTTTACTTCCTCGGGCGGCTTGACGAAAAATTGCCACACCGCCGAGTAGGAAACTTTGCCCCCGCTACTCCTCACTGGCTGACTGCTACTTCCTCCGTGCACACCGGCACCACTACTGGCCGCCGTGGTGGTAGGCTGCAGTGGAGCTGGTGCTCTACTCCGTGGCCGTTTGCCTCCACTGACACTGCTGCGACCCTGCTGCCTCCTGGGCAACCCACCGACTGTTTTGCTCGCTGCCAAGCTGGCACCCTCTTCTCCTGATGATGCGGAAGCAATAGCCTGATGACGACGAGGCTGCCAAGTGCGATCAGCCTCATCATCATCAATTAGGGTCTCCGCCTCACTACTAGCCCCCTCGGCTGCGTGTGGGTCAGGAGACAGACCTGTCTCTAGACCGGCTACCGAGCCACTCTCCTCGCCAGTACTTCTTCGCCTGGCTGCTGAAGAGGCGGATGTCTCCCCCCGTTCCTGACCGCCCTCTGTTAGCTCTTCCTCACTGTACAGTGGGGCTGAGCCCACAGCATGCGATACTTCGCTTGGTGAGGGAACACCAAAGGACAGGGGCAGGTAGAGGACACGTGATTTCAGTGGGCTTGCTCCCGGGCCATGCCAACTAACGGTTGTGTCTGACGTACCCACCGACCGTTGGCTGTAGGTGTCAGAGGTGACCTGGGAAGAGGAAGACGACCGAGCCAACCAATCGATGACGGCAGGGTTGTCGGTGGAGACACGACCGCTGGATGACACCGGGAGCACTGGCCTCTGGCTGCGACTAGTGCTGCCTCGACCCCTTCCTCTGCTGCCACGTCTGCTCGCTCCTGAAACATTGCCTCCTCTGCCACTCCTCTGCGTGTTGTCTGACATACTCTTTAATTCAACGATTCTGTGTCCCTGAGTAACGATTCTGTGTCCCTGAGTAGCGATTCTGTGTCCCTGAGTAACGATTCTGTGTCCCTGAGTAACGATTCTGTGTCCCTGAGTAACGATTCTGTGTCCCTCAGTAACGATTCTGTGTCCCTCAGTAACGATTCTGTGTCCCTCAGTAACGATTCTGTGTCCCTGAGTAACGATTCTGTGTCCCTGAGTAACGATTCTGTGTCCCTGAGTAACGATTCTGTGTCCCTGAGTAACGATTCTGTGTCCCTGAGTAACGATTCTGTGTCCCTGAGTAACAATTCTGTGTCCCCAGAGTAACAATTCTGTGTCCCTGAGTAACAATTCTGTGTCCCTGAGTAACAATTCTGTGTCCCTCAGTAACGATTCTGTGTCCCTCAGTAACGATTCTGTGTCCCTCAGTAACGATTCTGTGTCCCTGAGTAACAATTCTGTGTCCCTGAGTAACGATTCTGTGTCCCTGAGTAACGATTCTGTGTCCCTCAGTAACGATTCTGTGTCCCTGAGTAACAATTCTGTGTCCCTGAGTAACAATTCTGTGTCCCTGAGTAACAATTCTGTGTCCCTGAGTAACAATTCTGTGTCCCTGAGTAACAATTCTGTGTCCCTGAGTAACAATTCTGTGTCCCTGAGTAACAATTCTGTGTCCCTGAGTAACAATTCTGTGTCCCTGAGTAACAATTCTGTGTCCCTGAGTAACAATTCTGTGTCCCTGAGTAACAATTCTGTGTCCCTGAGTAACAATTCTGTGTCCCTGAGTAACAATTCTGTGTCCCTGAGTAACAATTCTGTGTCCCTGAGTAACGATTCTGTGTCCCTGAGTAACGATTCTGTGTCCCTGAGTAACGATTCTGTGTCCCTGAGTAACGATTCTGTGTCCCTCAGTAACAATTCTGTGTCCCTGAGTAACAATTCTGTGTCCCTGAGTAACAATTCTGTGTCCCTGAGTAACAATTCTGTGTCCCTGAGTAACAATTCTGTGTCTGTCCCTGAGTAACAATTCTGTGTCTGTCCCTGAGTAACAATTCTGTGTCCCTGAGTAACAATTCTGTGTCCCTGAGTAACAATTCTGTGTCCCTCAGTAACGATTCTGTGTCCCTCAGTAACAATTCTGTGTCCCTGAGTAACAATTCTGTGTCCCTGAGTAACAATTCTGTGTCCCTGAGTAACAATTCTGTGTCTGTCCCTGAGTAACAATTCTGTGTCCCTGAGTAACAATTCTGTGTCCCTGAGTAACGATTCTGTGTCCCTCAGTAACAATTCTGTGTCCCTGAGTAACAATTCTGTGTCTGTCCCTGAGTAACAATTCTGTGTCCCTGAGTAACGATTCTGTGTCCCTCAGTAACGATTCTGTGTCCCTCAGTAACAATTCTGTGTCCCTGAGTAACGATTCTGTGTCCTTGAGTAACGATTCTGTGTCCCTCAGTAACAATTCTGTGTCCCTGAGTAACAATTCTGTGTCCCTGAGTAACAATTCTGTGTCTGTCCCTGAGTAACAATTCTGTGTCTGTCCATGAGTAACAATTCTGTGTCCCTGAGTAACAATTCTGTGTCCCTCAGTAACGATTCTGTGTCCCTCAGTAACAATTCTGTGTCCCTGAGTAACAATTCTGTGTCCCTGAGTAACAATTCTGTGTCCCTGAGTAACAATTCTGTGTCCCTCAGTAACAATTCTGTGTCCCTCAGTAACGATTCTGTGTCCCTGAGTAACAATTCTGTGTCCCCGAGTAACAATTCTGTGTCCCTCAGTAACAATTCTGTGTCTGTCCCTGAGTAACAATTCTGTGTCCCTGAGTAACAATTCTGTGTCCCTGAGTAACGATTCTGTGTCCCTCAGTAACAATTCTGTGTCCCTGAGTAACAATTCTGTGTCCCTCAGTAACAATTCTGTGTCTGTCCCTGAGTAACAATTCTGTGTCCCTGAGTAACAATTCTGTGTCCCTGAGTAACGATTCTGTGTCCCTAAGTAACGATTCTGTGTCCCTAAGTAACGATTCTGTGGTCCTAAAGTCTCTCTGGCCCTAACTCTGTCCCTAATACAGACAGGTCTGTCTCTCTTGAATGACCGGAGGCTAATGGAGAATTGTAAGATGGCCGCAATTTATAGCTCCACCATTACACAGTGCTGGCTGGCTGGCTGCTGATTGGCTAATGCGATCACATGTCATGAATGAATGCATTATGGGTCAGCGCGCCTTGTCTGCGCGCCTTCCAAGAGATCCCCGCTCCGTCGCCACATATGTCGCCGCCATTTTTGGGAAAATTCGATTCGTGCATCCGAAGTTTGCTAATTTTCGGATTCGGCGCAAATCGAATTTTTCCTGATATTCGAAACGAATTCCACTTCGCCATGTTCGATTCGCTCATCTCTAATGCAGACCAAGGAACCAGGGCACATGGAATAGAGTTCCATTCCATGTGCCCTGGCTCCTTGGTCTGCATCATCTTCCTCCTTTTCAAGGATGGTGAGGATCCTGTGCAATGGATGTAGTGACAGTTGTAGAAGCAGTCAGTGCGTCCTTGGACTGAGCAGATTTAGGAAGAGATGGACCAGAGAAACAAAGCACCTAGGGTGGGACTGGCAGCTTCTCATCAAGGATATGGAGGATCCCTCGAAGACAAGCAGAAGAGAAAGGAGGGCGCCAGGTCAAGGTGAGTAAAAAACATGTAAACTTTATTACAGAAGACTTGCATCTAAAACTCCTTCACTCGGCATGTGGAATGAGAAGGCAGACAGAGGAGCAGGACCGCAGTTCACTCTGATGGATGGATCGGTGACAGCAGCATGACCATGGAGGGAGTCGCTCGTTTGTTAAAAAATCCCGCAAGGCAGTGGAGAGGTTGACAGGTACCGTAACAGGTGCCGTAAATAGTGGGTGGGCTGCAGCGCATTTCAGAAGTTACGCCTCCTTTGTCAAGCAGCTACATAAGGACTTGGGACAGGTTCTGTCCCGAGTGGAAGAAAAATTGGATAAGCATGCTCAAGCAATAACAGAGCTGAACAAATGGAGGAAATGCGACGTGGACATAGGAAACTGCTATATAAGATGGAAGATCAGCAGAACAGAAATAGAAGGAACAAGGCTACCTGAAACGTCCCAGGAAGAAGATTTGAAAGATGCAATGAATAAGGAGCTAAATCCAATAATAGATAGACCTATAATAGAGCAATTGAAAATTGACAGAGTACATAGGATAAGAAGACCTCAAGGAGTGACTATAGAAACCCCAAGGGACGTGATAGTGATATTCCACTACTATGAAGATAAAGCAAAGATCTGGGAGAAAATGAGAATGATTCCTTCAAAAAAACATGAAGGAGCAAATTTGTAAATCTATGCAGATATGGCACCCTAAACATTAACAAGAAGGAGATCATTGAGACCACTGTAGGAGCAGATGCAGAAAAAAAGTATCCAATATAGTTGGGGTTTTCCAGCGTGTTTGGTTGGATGGAAAGATGGACGTTCAGCTAGATTGGGGTTCCCAGAAGATCTTCAGGACTTTTGGGAGAGACAAACTGCAAATGGCCAGAAATCCCAGGGTGGACTGATGAGATGAAGGAGAAAATGGGACTGGAAGAAGAGAGGTGGCAATCCCTAAAAAAATTATGGAGGAGGGAGTGGGGTGTGGGGAGGGTGAAGATTGAGGGGGGTGGAGGGAAGAGAAGAAAGAATCACCTTGGAATTCTCCTTTGTTTTAAATTTATTATATCGAGACCTCCCTCTATGAGGACCTGATGAAAAGAGGATTTAACATAAAGGGATTGCAGATAAGACCTATAATGTAAAGGGATTGAATACACTGGGTAAAAAGACACAAGATTATTAGGGAAATTTAGCAACGTTCAATCGATGTATTCTTACAAGAGACACACATATCTCATGATACAAGAATAAGTTAGAATCAAGAAATTATCCGGTTTGGTATTATGCTGACTCACCAATAAAATGAGCCAAATGAGCGATAGGGATGGCAAAAAATGTAAGATTCACTATAAAAGATACTGTAGGTTGGTGGACCCAGAAGGTTGGTTTTTGTTTTTGAGGGGGAAACTATATGAAATGGAATGTACACTAGCAAATATTTACTGTCCAAATAAGAACCCAATGGCCAATCTAGAGGATAAATTAAGAGAATTAATGGATTTTAAGAGAGGAAAACTGATTGTGGCAGGGTAATTTTTGCATAGACCCCCAATTGGATGCTTCATTGCATGTGCAGAAGGATAGAGGTAAGCGTTTAAGGTCTATAAAAAAGAAATTACATCAATGTCAATTGGTAGACGCACGGAGAATTAAACAAGTAGGAATAAGAGACTATACGTTCTATTCCTCAGTACATGCAACATACTCTAAATTGGATTGTATAATGATAGTACATAGACTATTGGAGTCATTGATTAAATCTAATATTGAACTTACATCATTATCAGATCATGCACCTGTCACAATGAGGTTGAAAGTGGGAGGGGAACAGAGTAAAACATATGCATGGAAATTAAATGAGACACTCATACAGGATCAGGAGATGGAAGTAAGAATACAAAAAGATATAGAGCAATACTTTCTGGCAAAAGAAATGGAGGATGTCTCAATGGGCACGGTATGGGAAGCTCAGAAGGTGTACATAAGGGGTATCCTGATTTCCATTGGGGAGGAAAAAAAGGAAAAATTGTTGGAAAAGATTAAAGTATTAACAGAGGAATTATATGAATTAGAACAATTACATAAAAAGAGAAAACTGAAGTGCAACACAAGATAATACTAAAGAGAGAAGAATTAAGTAATTTAATAGAACAGGAGACAAATAGGCCCTTCAATATGGTGTCAAGAGAAATACTGTATATCAATTGGGGATTAGACCAGGAAAATATTTGGCAAGGATGATAAAGGAAAAATAAATCAGTAAATTTCATAGAGTAAATTAGAAATAAAACAGGAAAATGAGTTTATTCAACTAAAATAATTGCTAGTGTATTTGAAAAATATTATAGTTATCTATATGCAGTTAAACAGAAAGAACCAAAAAGAGCTAGAGAGAGATAGAAGTATAAAAATCCAGACATATTTAAAAGCAGCTGCACTACCTAGATTAGAGGAAGAAAGATTGGCAATGTTAGAAATACCAATTTCACAAGAAGAAATACAAGTAGCACTAAGGAGTACAGTAGCAGGGAAGAGCCTGGGGCCAGATGGATATACGGTGAGATATTATAGGAATTTTACAGAACAATTAGTGCTGAAAATGTATATATATATATATATATATATATATATATACCGTGTTTCCCCAAAAATAAGACACTGTCTTATATTTTTTTTGGCTCAAAAAAACACACTAGGTCTTATTTTTGGGGTAGGTCTTATTTTTTTTAAATGTCCAGGTGTGGACAGTGGGTGCAAAGGTGAGCTGCAGGCAGTTGTGAATGAGGGTTACTATGGAGAGGGCCGGATGATGACAGTTGTGAGCTGCAGTCAGGTGTTGCAGGGGTGACTTGACAGGTGAGTTTCAGACAAAGTGCAGATATGAGCCACAGACAAGGTGCAGGGGTGAGTTGCGGACGAGGGATGCAGAGGTGAGCTGTGGCTGGGGGGTGCATGGGTGAGTTGCAGATGGGGGATGCAGAGGTGAGCTGTGGCTGGGGGGTGCATGGGTGAGTTGCAGATGGGGGATGCAGAGGTGAGCTGTGGCCGGGGGGTGCAGGGGTGAGTTGCAGACGGGGATGCAGAGCTGAGCTGTGGCCGGGGGGTGCAGAGGTGGGTTGCAACTCAGCTCACCTCTGCACCCCCCCCAGCCGCAGCTCACCTATACACCCTGTCCGCAACTCACCTGTCAATTTACCTCTGCAACACCTGACTGCAGCTCACCTTGGCACATCCCTTTTCTCTCCTCCACTGCCCTCATATGGTTAGCTAGCTTTGCAAAACACAGCTGTCAGCAGCCGGCCCCTCTCCATAGTAATTCCCATTTCGAGTCTTATCTTCCCACACAGTGCACCAAGGGCACTCACACACCGTTCCACCTCTTTTCCACTGATCAGTGATCACCCCATGCATTAGGCTGCAGGAGGAGATACCCCACCCCGCCCCTAAACACACTGCACCCACAGATATCTATTCCTTCCCTGTCCAACGGTGAGTACAGAGGTAGGGAGGTAGGGAGGTTCTGTGGGAGCGGATGGTGCTGTCACTTCAGCTGTGCTTCTGTGTTTATAAGAGACAGTAGACATTGATGTGCACAGGGCCAGTGCCAGAGGTGGCGAAATGTCGTTCCGCCACGTTCCAGCTGAAAAAAAAAGCCTTGATCACAACTAGGTCTTATTTTCGGGGTAGGTCTTATACTTTAGTAATTCCCAAAAATAGCACTAGGTCTTATTTTCACGGTAGGTCTTATTTTAGGGGAAACGGTATATATATATATATATATATATATATATATACGCATTGGAAGAAGGAATGAAAAAAAGGAAAGAGTCGTAGTTGGCACACATCACAATTATACCCAAAGAAGGCAAAGACCTGTCTCAATGCGCCAGCTATAGACCAATATCATTATTAAATATAGATACAAAATTATATGCAAAAGTTATCGCTAATAGGATGAAAGATCTAATGCCGGAGTAGATACACTTAGATCAGGTAGAGAAGGAAGAGAACCACAACAATAAAGCAAAAACAGGCCACCAAAAATGACACAAATTACCGGTGTCATTAGCATATCTCCGACTCACTTGTATAAGTGTGGATACAAAAACCCAAAGACTACATACTAAACAATATGGTAGTGTGACAAGAACACCCCTACCTGAAAAAGAAGGTTACTAGATGATCCACGCGGAGTAATATGAATTCAAAAGAATTTTTAACAATACTTTATTTGATCACATAGATCATAGGGAGGTTAAACATAAGCACGGTGTACATATGAAAAAAATAAAATCATGTTAAAAAACACTAAGCGTCTTCAATTTAGGGTCATCTTAGCAAATAGAGC